TGTGACGAGCTTCTAGCTGCATGGGCCAGGTGGTACAGTTGGGCCTGTTTACTTCTGGGCCCAGCAAAATGCACACTTTCCGGAATCCGATGTGGCCTAACTTATAAGCTCAAAGATATGAGACCATATATGTTGCTATCAGAACATAGTTGAAGAGAAAGAAGATGTGGACTCAGTTGGCAGCTAAGAATTTGTTTTTCTTCGCTTCAGCAGAATCTTCTCCAAATCGACGCTACTGCTCCTATCATTTGGCTATCGAAGGTTGACAAATATGTGGCCGTGCAGTGAGAGGCCGGCGGCGGAGGGGCTCGCCCGGATGGGGGAGGTGCAGCCGGGATGAACAGGAGGAAAATCAAAGGAAAAAAAGAAAAAGAAATGGTAAACCACTGCCAAGTGGGTTCATATAAACAAAAATATAATGGCTGCAGTTTTAGAGTGTCTGAAATGGGAAAGTACTATATAGCCTCTAAAAAACTTTTAGAGTGCACCCTAAAACCATTATAGAGGCTGTGTTTTTTAGAGTGTTATTGTTTCTCTAACTTATTGCAATTTACAGCACTGGGTGGGTTTAGTATTGCATACCACAAACAAAAGAATTAACTGTGTTCATTCTCGGAAAAATAATAATTAACTGTGCATACGAAATTACAAAGATCATCTTGCAAGATCTTCAACCAGTTCAGACATATCGATGGTTCCATGTGTTTTCTCGTCAAAAGGGACAAGAACCGAAGATGACCCTCCATAGTTATGCGCACCACAGTTGTTTTCGGGAGCATTGTTCCCGTGCAAATGGAGTCTCCTCATCATCTCTAGTCTCTCTGCAACTTCCTTCATTGTTGGCCTGTCATCTCCCCTCTGGCTAAGGCAATGAACTGCAAGTTCAGCCATGTTCTCAAGGAGCACCAAGCCTGCATCATCTGTAATTTCAGAGTCCAGCATAACATGGTGCGTCTTCTGATGAAACATCAAGGGAAAACTATATGACAATGATTCCTTTCCATTGAAGCTGTCAGAATATATAGCCCTATTTCGTGTCATCAGCTCCAGAAGAACCACCCCGAAACTGTAGACATCACTTTTATCGGTGAGCCGACGGCTAATAAAGCTCTCAGGATCAAGGTAGCCAAGTGTTCCATTGACAAACATGATGAACTCACTTTCATCCATGGACTTAAGTGCTGATGCTCCAAAATCGGCAACCTTTACATTGAGCTGATCATCCAAGAGAATGTTGGCAGACTTGACATCCCCATGTAGGATTGTGCGAGATGTCGACGAATGTAAGTAAGCTAGAGCTTCTGCTGACTGTGTAGCAATCTTCAGGCGAAGATCGAATGGGATTGGAGATCTAGGTGCAGCACCATGCAGGAACTCAGATAGAGTACCATGGGAGACAAACTCATAAACCAACATTGGGACATCTACATCCAGACAACACCCGAGTAATCTCACAATGTTTCGGTGATTGATCTGTGACAAGATTATAATCTCATTGACAATTTCTTCTCTCCAATCATTGTTGATTGCTTTAGACTTCTTTATGGCAACCTCTTTTTGGTCATCCAAAGTTCCTCTGTAGACCATACCATGACCACCACGTCCAATAACTCGATCTTCATTATAGTTATCAGTGGCTCTCTTTATCTCTTTCTCTGTGAGTATGCGGATTGTGTCGACCTGCCTTGATCTCATCTCATCATATAACTTGAGACCACCATTTTGTTTGAAGTACTCATATTTCTCCCTCTTGTGCCTTTTTCTTTGAAATTGCATGAGCAACATGCATGTTAAGGCCATCAGCACAGTTGCAGAAACACAAACAATGAGGCCTGCACAAATGTTGTTTTTGAGAAACTGATGCCAGTGAATTTCTATTAGAATTTGGACTTTGCTATTTTC